GTGATCTCCGAAATAGCTGCCATAACTTCTACCGCTTATACTTTGTTGCTTTTTCAATTTTTCCTAATAAACAATTGTGGTACAAAGCTCAATAAAAATATTAAAAATTTTGGTAATTCATTCTCAGTGTTTATTTATATTTATTCATAACTGAAGAAATGTAGTATTTTTGCATACTATATTTTTTCGAACAGTATATAGTACGCAGACTGAAAAATATCCGATATTTTCATTTGGACTTATTTCCAACAATTACTAAATTTCGGTAGTTTCTCTTCCATATTCTAAACTTTGGTTTCATCTAAATATTTGTACCAAATTAAATTAGTAGTATACATTTGGAATACTATGTTCTTATAAGTTTTTTTTTGTTTTCCTTTCGTTAAGGGTTATTTTTTATTGTCAGCATTGAAAATCCACCAACGTTTATACTACATAGTAAGCACAGTACAAGAACGCGATTGTCAAACAAACGCAACAGTTAACGCAACTAATTTATTAAAATGCTCATCATGCATTTCAGTGTGACTTAAATGGCGAGCCGTGAAGCCGAAAATGAATATCAATTATTTGTCATCAATGACAAAATAGACGATTTGAGTATAAATGCTGTCCACTGAAGAGGATGAAGACATTCAGTCTTCAACTTTTATTTCGTACGGACAGAAGAAGTTAACTCAAAAATGGCCATCAAGGTGTGTTAGCTAAGGATTCAAATAAAAAAAGAAAACAGAATTTCACTCGTAGCTCAATTACGCTGTTTTCATCTAGCATATCGAGCCCTAACCGCCAAAAAGTCATAACGAAATGTTTCTTCAAAATTTTCTTTTCGATCAAACATTTTCCTAGAGCATCTAATTTTGAAAAAATGTCGCTTACATCTTTTTGGCGGTTAGGGCTCGATATTTATATATTACTAATAAAAATATTTGTATGGTTTTTGTAATTATTTTAAGTTGGCTGTCGCTCTCACTTTCTGCGCTGTAGTAAACGCTGCCTTCGTAGCTGTTGCCCCTGCCGCCGTGGCTGTGGAAGAATACGACCCCCATCCACAATACAAATATGGCTACGATGTGCAAGACAATCTGTCTGGTGATTCCAAAGGACACGTCGAGGAGCGTGATGGTGATGTGGTACGAGGCGAATACTCGCTGATCGATTCTGATGGTTTCAGACGTGTTGTAAGCTATACAGCAGACCCAATTAACGGTTTTAACGCCGTCCTTCGTCGTGAACCCTTGGTTGCCCCTGTCGTCGCCTCTGCCCCAGTTCTGGCCGCACCAGCACCATTGGCCGCTACAGCTCCGGTTGCGCCGGCTTTTGCCTACAGCCAACTGTAGAACATCGGGTCGTTCAACTTAATATTGTTTTGTTGCTTTTGGATTAATTTGATAACGTACAAAAATAAATGTGATTTATGTTTTAAGAGGTAATTATATTATGCGTTTTCGAATAGAATGGATCACTTTTTCGTAATTACAATGTCTAAAAAATCAGAAAAGTTAGCGAGTTTTTAACATGACCTAGAGTGGACAATGTTCGGATCTGTACGATTAATTTATTTATTTAGTAATTTAGGAAATGTAATGTACATTCTTCTTGCAGATTATACAGGGAGGAATACAATTTAGTATTATTTAAAAATTTAATTCAATAAGCATTTAAATCTAGGGTTTGCCATGGAGAAATCAACGGATATGAGAACAAGTTTAATTCTTTCAATGCTCTATATATAGGGGAGTTAGAAACATAAACTGTTCTAACCCGATTGAGTAAAAGTTGTGTGACTCAAGTCTCTAGTGGGCATACTAACGTAGATGCATTCAAGTAAGAATGATCTTCGCCCCTCGTATAATATCATAGACAAATGTAAGCGAAATAATGGTCCTGCGACTATTTCGAGATTTAAGACCGGTTAACTAACATCTGCCATCACAAGATGGAGTTAGATAAACAAGCTGAAGTGAATGAATGGCAGAACGCATGAAGGTTTTTTGCAGTCGCTAAATCCTTCCAATTATTTTTTAAATAGAATTCAGAAATAAAGCTTTTTTAAACCCATTTCATTTGATAACCATCATTCAGTAATTCCTTTAACTTGTTCATTCATTTGAATTTAACTTTTTTAACAGGTGGCAACCCTTTTCATTATTCTCAGCGTTAAGGCTAAACAAATTTGACCACTCCTTCACTTGACGCACATATTTTAATATTTCAAATAACTTATGCATACTTTATTTCAGAGACAAAACTATTATAAGAGAAAAGAATAAAAGTCAATCAATAATCATTATATTAAGATAAATATTTTTCGAGTCATTTGTAATTATTATTCAAGGACTTACATTATAAAAGTTTTTCACAATAATTATCATTGAGATAAATATTTATAAGTCTTCAAAGACTTATTTTCAGACTTATATTATAAAAGTCCTTTCATAATAATTATGAGCGCGAAAAAATTTTGTAAGTCTTAAAGGACGGGACTTGTTCAGGAGCATTTCAGGATTAGTTGGGGTCCCGTTCGGGACTATATACAAAACTTTTTTGCACTCATAATTATTATCAAAGGACTTTTATAATATAAGTCTCGAAATAAAACTTTAAATTATTATGACAAGACTTTTATAATATAAGTCTCAAAATAAAAGTCTTTGAAAACTTAAAAATATTTATCTCGCTGATAATTATTATGAAAAGACTTCTATTATATAAGTCTTAATCGATGACTTAACAAAATTTTCTCACACATAATTATTATCAAAAGGCTTTTATAATTCTTATGAAAATTTGGATGACTTTTTTAAAACTCCACCATGAAATAATTATTATTCTGGGTCTCTGCTTTATTTAAATTTGCTTCTTCTTTAAATTTTGGTAGCTGGGCAAAAGCAATTGGTCTGCTTTTCCTGAACTTAGGTACTGCGTTTTCTTAAAGTTTAATCGAGGCTTTGACTAACTTAATTGTACCAAGTGCTGGAGTAAACACATCTGCCAAAAGTGTTTGCAATTTTTCCAATGACTCGACGGTCAATGTATCAATTTGAAGAATTTTGAATCCCAATTCTTCAAATAAGTGCACTCCTAACAGAACCCCGCACATTCGAAACTACTGCTGACAATATTTTTTCGAATAAATTCCATTGCTATCTATTGCATTTATAGTAATCGTTTTGCCTTTGACTGCGCTCACCGTCTTTGTTGTTGATTCAAATGAATCGGCGATTAGCTGCACTTCGGCCAACGTTGGCTGCGGCTTTTGTAGAGCTGCCATACGAACTAGTGGTGGCAAACTATCGATGGCACTATCGATAGTATCGATGGGACATCACTATCGCAACTATCGATGGCGACCACTATCGGCCATATTTGAAGTTCGATACTATCGATAATATCGAGGGATTGCCATATCTATGTATGATTTTACTCGTGCGGATAGTGTAACAAAACATGGACAAATATCTAACTCACAATGTAAAACGTAACGTGTTTGTTATATATATGTTTACTAGCTTACCCGGCGAACTTCGTGCCGCTCAAAATTAATTTTTTTATTGAAATGTTTGGTCCAACGTTTTCGCCAGCAATTCACGTTCACGTTTGGTTTTGTGATCGACAGAAGGCATATCCTCCATAAGTGGCGGATACACGGGGGCGGAGGGGGGTTTTGGGGGTTAAGTGCCAATATACCTAAGATCTTAAAAACATTAACAAAATACGTTATATTAGCTATTTGTAATGCTTCGAGAGCATTTCGAAAATGTTCGTGTGAAACTCGTTTTTTCCACATTTTTACGTCCAGAAGTTTTGTTTCGAGCAGTCGATTACTTTTTCATAGAAAGCAAGATTCTTTTTTCGACTGCTGTATCGCGGTACTTTGATTTCTGTACCTAGGTTGGTGCATTCTTCTTCTACGTGTTCGAAAAGTAAATGAAAGTTTTGTACTGCATCTTGTCGCATTTCTTCAACCTCCTTTAAAACGTCGTCGGCTAAGCTCATTGCTTCCGCAAGATCTTCATCAGGTACTTGCAATTGCCGGCTAGCAAAGCAACAACAAGTTATCAAAAAGCAAATGCTTGGCTGTTGTCGCTGTGCTAACAGTTTTTCAAACACTGATAATTTCTATAGATATTCGCACGATACAAATAATTTTTACGGTATTTTCCCCGTGACAAATAAAAAGTTTTTGACAATTGGAAGAAATACAACTTCGAAAGTCTTTTTTTAAACGATTGGTGCAGGAATGATATTTTCAGGGATTGAAGTCAGAAGTCCAAGCCTTAATTTAAGCCTAAGTGGAATTTTGCTTAATTGCGGTAGGTACTCAAACTTCCGATAATCAGTTTTTCCTATTCAACAAATAACTATAAGTGACCATCAAGCAAAGGTGCAGGAATTTGCAGGGATAGTAGCCGAAATTTTCTTTCTTTAATCTAAGTCTAAGTGGGAGGTTCTACAACCCTTTGTTTCTTTGCTAGAGCTTCTCAAATATTGCAAAATCGCGATTCTTTGACACTGACCTTGTTTTTCTTAAAATCTGGACGGAAACTTTATGCTTACGTCAAAAATAGCGTTAACATTAGCTGCATCAAATTTGTTTCTATTTTTGTACTATGTATGAATGTGTGTGTTGTCACCGCTCTCAGAGCGGCGCTCTGCATGCTTGGGGTGCGTATGTACACTCATATATATACACAGATGTGAACAGTCAAATACGTGCGTAACAAATTTTGTATGAAAATATTATTTCTAAATTCGAACATTTTTGAACGATACTCAAATATAAAGTATTCATTTTTACTATGCATTATTTCCCTCAGTGTATCGTGCAAGTTTTAAGTCCAAATATTTATTTTGAATTGGCTAAATTGTATTCTAAATATGAGCCAAATCAATACCCCGACCCCAGTGCCACCTAACGATTAAATTTTTTGTCGAATATTTCCCTTCAAGGTGCTGACATATGTTCCAAAAATATGAACCAAATCGGTCCAGCCGTTTAGTAGTTTAGTGGAATTTAATGTACAGAAAACTCTATGAAATTGTGAAATCGTGACGTCTCAGCATTCTTCATTTTTCGGCAACAACAAAAAAAATTTCAAATTTTTTTAAATCGAAAAACGTTCCACACAGAAGGTCCAAAAAAGTACTTTTTACAGAAATGAAATCGGTTCAGCCGTTTGGTCAGGCATCGCCGTACTACGGAAAGCATTTAATTTTTATATATATAGACTAGCAGACCCAAATAAATTTTTTAAACATGGTCAAAAATTAGGGTTTAATTTTTAAACCGCGCTGGGACTACTGCCTTTTTTAATCTTTTATAGTCTACCTTTTAAACCAGTCAATAGTTTTAAGCAATTTTTAATATATTGTGGTTTAAATTTTAGTCCAAAAAGTTCGTGGTTTAAAAATCAAACCAAAATGTTTTAATTCTAGTTTCTAGGTTTCATATATAAAAAAATTGGTTTAAAATCTAAACCGAAATAGAAAATGTTTGCACACAGCGAAATGTGGTGTTGATTCAAACTCAACATATGAAAGCACATTTACATGCGTGGCTGTAGGTGAGTGTGCAAAGCTGCTTGATGATCAGACGGAGCATGAAATTTAAGTTTTTTTTATTTTTTATTCTTAAATATGAAAATGTTTGGGTTTACAATTTAAACCGACGTGTTTAAATTCTAAACCCAACATATGTGCCCTCTTTTTTTAAATATAGAAGGTTTGTATTTGAAACTGAATTTATGTAGTTTGGTCATGTATGTATGTAGTCCAAAGAGTTTAAAATTAAAACCGAAATTTTTACCCGTGGATTGAAACATTTTTGTCCAACATTTTCACCAAGAGTTCACGTTCATGATTTTTAGTGACGCATTTGTCTTCTAATATTACGGTTTGGTGGTTGTCAGAAGGCATATTTGCCGTCTTAAATAACTTAGCAAAACTGTACATGCATACAAAGATACGTAATAGTTTCAATGCGTTTGAAAGGCGCCACGTCCCCTTTTCAAATAACCCCAATTTTCTCTAAGAGCATGGGATTAATTTCATATATCTCTATACCATTTTCGAGTAATTTACCATGGGAGGTGCCACGTCCCTTTTTCCAATAGTCCCAACTTTTCTTCATGACCAGTCGCGTTTTATATATCTTGTATACACCAAGTTCCAGTACTCTTCCATGAACACATTCAGAGATATGCAGTATGAAAAATTCGATGTGTATGGGAAGTGCCACGCCTCCTTTTCCGATAACCACAATTTATCTCCATGAGTATGCGATTGCTTTCATATATCTCCATACCAAGTTCGAGACCTCTTCCATGAACATTTTCCGGGATATGCAGTATGAAAAATTCGGTTTGCATGGTAGGTGCCATATATATTAGATAAGCACGATGCGAGAAGCATAGAAAAAATTTCGATGAAAAAAAAAATAAGTTTTTCTCAGGTTCACAACTATCCTATCTTTTAAGTTGGTTAATCGGTTAAGCGGTTTCGGAGATTAGCGTAAACGAACACAGTGTCAC